GTCGAATCGTACGGTGTCGAATAATTTGGTGTCGAATAAATCTGTGTCGAATCGATCGGTGTCGAATCGTACTGTGGTCAAACGGAACACGCCCGGCGACGGGCATGTGTGTACCGGTGGTGGGCTCGAACGCTCGCCCTCCGGAGATCGGCTATCTTTTCCGACCACCAGTACACGGACCTCCGACTCGGTGGCCCGCGAGAACGTGGCATGGCCGCGTCGCAGATCATGACCAACGTCTCGCGGAACTACTGGAGCTCCGCTCGAAGGTCGCGCGGCCCGGCCGGCGGACTTGGCCAGGCCGCGGCCTGAGCAGCGGCGGACAGGATACTTGGGTCCAGCTTTCTAAGGACCCACCCTTGGAAGCGGGGGTGTCGTCTCCTCGTGGCGACCCCGAGGGGGGCCAGAAAACTCGGAGACCCTTATCGTAATGTAACGATGATCGGAGAGAGTCTCCAGATCGTCCCTGACCTTTCACTCGGACACACGTGCAATGGCGGACAGGGAAGCAACGGTCACATCGACGATGGACCCCCCGTTGCGCATCACGTACGTGTGTTGCGTGCCCTCAATGACTGTGGCAAAGCCGCAGGCCGCCATGCATTCTTCGAGGGCCCTTCCACGTACATCGGTCCTGGGGGAACCCCAAGTCACCGACTTGGCGTTAAAGTCCCCCAGAACCAGTAAGGGACGGGGCTGGAGGCGGCGTATCACCCGTTCCAGCCCGTTCAAGAACTCTTCGAATTCGTGGAAGGGCCTCGTGGGGGAGAAGTAACACCCCACGATCACCAGTTCCCCCCATTCGCATGCGACAAACCCCTCTCCCTTTTCGAGGAAAGAGAAGAAGGTGGACGCATGTCCCCACCGAAAATGTAAGGCAACCGAGCCGTCCTTCGACCCCAGCCACGACGGGTGGTCTGGGACGGAGTGAGGCTCGGCCGCCACCGCAAGGCATCCATCTAGCTCCGCGAAGCTATGCACCAGGAGGTCCTGAGCCTCGCGGGCGTGATTTAGATTGCCCTGGAGGAGTAAAGACATTATGTAGTGTCCATTACATCCTCCTCCAGGGCCCTGCTCTCAGGAAGAGAGGGAGATGCAATCCCCTCACTGGAGGACGCTGCAGTTGTTGGTGCAGCGGCCGGTACTTCTACCTGAGGAGAGGACTGGATGCCACTCCTCTGTGCGGTTTTGGGCGCCCGTTTACCCTTGCCGGAAGCAGGAGCGCACGCTCTGCCTCCCAGGCGGTGGTTTGCGGGACGCCCAAAATCCGCGCATAAAGGGCACTTGGGTGTCGACGTGCACGTTGACACCCTATGTCCCCGGTTGCCACAATTGAAGCAGCGGCCTCTTCTGTCTTTTTCCGGCGCGGTAAAAGTGCACGCGGCCATCACGTGCCCGCGCCGGAGACATCTGTGGCACTGGAGGGGCCGCCTCTCCAGTACCTTTATAGGTGCACGTACCCAGCCGACCCTGAGCGTCCCGGCCTCGACAACTTTTTGGGCCGCGGTCAGTGGGCACTGCACCCATGTTGTGGACAGCCCACCGGGGGAGGCACGAGGTTGGCCAGCCTTCACCTCGGTCGACCGGCAGCTCCCGGCGGACGCCACAGCTTCTTTAATCTCCTCGGGGGAGATCGACTCGTCGAGACCTCGGACACGTAATTCAATGGTCTTTGTTGGTCTCGCGAGTTGTCCCCCTTTCTCGGACACCAAGGGGAGCATCGCATTGTACAACGCTCCGCCTTGGCGTTGCTATTCTCACCAGGGACCTCTAGGATTATGGCCCTGGTGAGTGCTCGTCTTGGGCGGAGGCCTTGAATACCGAGAGGCTCGAGAGACACCCTCTCTCGGACGTATTTCAAAACCTCCGCCAAGAAGCCTTCCGCTGCCCCTTCCAGGGCTGAGAGCACCATCGCCGCGGAGCGGGGTGGTCTCCCCAGCTTCAACTTGGGAGGGGTGGCCTTGGCCGCACCCGCTCTCGGTTTGGTCGGTCCTTTTCTCCCTTTGGTGCCACCGAACTTGGCCGAGGCGGGGGTTTGGGGAGCCGGCTTCCGCCCCACCACCTGAGACCAGATGTCTTTTGAGGTGGAGAGAGCGGAAGGTTGGGAGGATGATAGCAGGGGAGCGGGCAGCGCGGGTTTGGGGGCCTGGGATGCGGCCTTGGCCGCCTCCTTATCTCCCGGCCCGGATCCGCCGCCGCTTTTCTTCTTGCTTTTCTTCTTCTTTTTCTTCTTTTTCCGCAGACCCGTACTGGGCTCTGCGGAAGTTGCTGGGGCAGAGGGCAGAGATCCAGTCGAGTTTGCTGCACTGGTTGCAGCCAGGCCGCTGCACCCGCCTCTGCCGTGGCATCTACCTCTGTCCTTTCCTGCGGTTGACCTTGCAGGGGAGGACGAACGGACAGGCGATGGACGACCTGTTCGTAAAAGACAGACAGCTTTTCAGCCATCTGCCTGTCCGTTTCCCTGCGGTGGGCCTTGAGCAGAGATTCAATATCCTTGAGCTCTACCGGCTTCCATGCAGGGTGCTCTTCGTCCCGCTGGGTGCCAGTATCCAGCGGGGGTGCTGTCGCCTCCTTACTTCTCTCTCTCGCCGTGCTCGGAGGGGGAGAGATGTCCATCTCCTGCACCGGACTCGAACCACGGGAGGGCCGCGACCGGTCCTTAGGTCGTCGCGGTCTGGCCTCCCGCTGCGGAAGTGGAGGTGGAGCGTCTTCCTCGGGAGGTGCGGCGGAGGCCTTGAGCTTAGCAAAACCTATCGCTGTGAGCTCCCGCCGCAGATCCTTTAACTTGTCGTGAAGCGCGTCCACCTTACGCTTCAAGACGAGGTTTTTCCTAGAGACGCTGTCCAGTTTTGCCTGGACAGCGTCTTTATCGGTCCTCAGGGAGGAGACCGTGCCTCGTAGCTCGGCCACCTCGCCGTCCAAACGACGGTTCAGCCTCTCCAGCCGCTGGACCTCACCCTCAGTGTCCATACGGCTGGACAGGACGCGGACGGCCTCCTCCATGTTGTCCGCGGCCTCCTTGAGGTACTTAATGTAAGTACCCTTAAGCCTCTTGGAGGTCACGGCCATCCTAATCACCGACGCCGCCAGTTTGCCCGATTGTTGGACAATCTGGGACGTTGGCATGTCCCGCGTAATAATATCCGGCAGCGAACCCCGGAGTGAAGCCGGTTCGGGCTGAGAAGGAGGGAGGGACGCGGGGCCCGACGACCGGGTGGTCGGCCGAATGGACTCAAAGTCCTCCGCGAGCTCGCGCTCTGCGCGCAGCTCCAGTTCCCTCTCCTCCTCCTTGTTTAGCTTCCTTGGTTTCCGCAAGGCCTAAACATATTCCCCGGTAGTGGGGGGACGCCCTCTCCCTCGCTTCCTCTTATCCCCCTGGGATGTATCCCTTTTTACAGGAAAAGGGGGGGATCTTGGGGCTTAATTGCCTGACGGGCCCCTCCTCTGCCCACAGAGGCAACTTCGACCTCCATGTCGGAGTCGTCCTGCGGCAGTTGTTTAGCGGCGGGATCCTCCCGTGACTCCGCGCCACTGCGCGAAGGACCCGGTTTCTGATCCCTGGAGGCAAGTTGAAGATTGCCTCCGCCGCTTTCTTTCTCTGAGCCGTCCGTATCAGTCAGCGGGCCAATAGGCCATCTGCTGCGTGACTCGGAACGACTCCTCTGCGCTGCGACTCGCTGAAATTTCGCGGAACGCAGAGTGGGAGAAGCACTTCTCCCCACTGGTGGGTCTACACCACCAGCCTTTGCAAATGCATTATCCTGCGCCGCCCCTGCGGGGCAAGCGACGCAGAGCCCGTCGTTGGATGACGACGGGAGGGAACCCGGGACGATAACTCCCTCTCGCCGGCAGCTGGCGGTCCTGTCCACCTGCTGCGGTACGGTATTCTCCTTCAGTGTCGACATCCCATATTTTCTAAAGGTTGGTTTATTTTTGGAGTGTCCTTCTCCTAGGACGGTTCCCAACCAAGGGTAACGAGCCCATCCTGCCCGGGTTTGGGATCGGGGTTTCCTTCCCCTAAGTACACTCTTAGTCTGACCGCTCACTGAGGACTTGTCCGGCAAGGGAGACCCTGCCAGGAACCAAAGTTCCCGCCGGCATAGCCCCTCAGATCATCACGGTACACAAGCCTGAGAACCACGTCAAGGTGGTGTACCACTCCCAGGTCCAGAACACTCCTTTTGTTTTTTTTTACGGGGAGAAATGCGTTACGCATACCCTGACCCCTCGGGGGAGAGGCCAGGGTTATGTTGGACTCCCCTCCCAAAATGAATTGGGAGGGATACCAACTAAAACTCCCCGGTGATTTTTCCTGCACTGCCAGGGAGGGCCCTGGAAAGCCTTGCGGCTATACTTTTCGGAACCCTCCCTAGTGCACTGGCGGCCTAGGTGTCACCACCCTCCTAAAATTTCTTGATGGCCAGAGAGGACCACGCTCCCTGGCCATCATATCTTGGGCTGCGTGCAATGATGGGAGAGAGCCCCCGCTCCCTCCACCTGTAGCCCTTTGTCCTTTCTGCCCACCGCCCAACCAGACGCGCGAACTCCTGCTCCCGCTCCGGTCAAGGCGGGGGCAGGGACAAGTACTATCACCCTGTTAATGAGTGATAAGGAGAGGCTAATCGCCCCTCCTCGGTCTTCCCCGGGGCTGCCCCTGCCGGGCACGCTCTTCCTCCTCTTTGGCGGTCATGACCGTGGTACAAAAATGCACGACGGCCCGCCATGCGTCGGGATCCCCTAACATCCGGCGCACAAGCGCCGGAAGGGAGAGATCCCCGCCCGCCGCCGATGATGTTAGGGCGGCCCGTGCCCGGTCCCAAGCGGGACAGTCCGCCAGCGTGTGCTGAGCGGAATCCACTGCGGCGCCGCAATGGGCACACGCTGGCGAAACTACCTTATTTATACGGTAAAGGTAGTCCCCAAAGCATCCGTGCCCGGTGAGGACCCGGGTGAGATGGTAGGACCTCCCCGTGTCTCCGACCCACCCATGACTCCAACACCGGGCCAACGGCCTCCCGCACCCTGATGCCATATCGAGAGGGGACGACCACCCTCTCCTTCCTACGCACCATACGCCGGTGCGCTCGACGACAAACAGCATCGTCACTATCCGGGGGGGGCTCAACACCCCGGGCTCTACCTTCGCGGATGTTTGCGAAAATCTCGGCATAGCGCGACAGTACGGTAGGCCCGGGCCACCCGTTGAGCCACCACCCTTTGCACCCGACTGAACGGAGCCCCAAGACGGCCCCGACAAAGCGCCTCCCATCAGACCGGGGCGCCGTACATTAAAACAGAATGCACGACGCCCAGATATAACCGCCTCGCGGCCTCCCCAGGGCCCCGAACATTTGGCAGCAGGCGCAACAGCGCCGACGCCACCCGTCTGGCCTTCTCCGCCGCGTACTCAAAGTGGTCCTTCCAGGACTACTCCTGATCTACGAGGAGGCCCAGGTAGCGCATAGACGTGCGCGACACAACCTGGGCCTCCCCAACCCACACTCTAACCGGATCTCCGGGCCGTCCCCCCGGAGGGCGAGAAATCACCACCTCCGTCTTGTTGGCAGCCAGGGCGAGGCCGAATGTGGAGATATACTCTGACACTACGGCCACCGCAAGGGTCGCGCGGAGCCTGGCCTCCCGGACGTTGCAGCCCGCCACTAACACAAGTGTATCGTCGGCGTAGCATACGACGTCCACGTGCGGCGGCAGCCGGATCCGCAACACCGCGTCGTAAGTAAGGTCCCACAGCAGGGGCCCCAGAACAGAGCCCTGTGGCACCCCGCAGGTGACAGCGTGGGACTCCCCGTCCCGACAGGGATAATAGACAAACCTGTCCGAAAGGTAGTCGTCCAGGACGGCCCGCAGGTAAGTAGGGAGACCCCAATCCCGCAAAGCCGCACGGACGCCACCCCAAGACAGGGAGTTAAACGCGTTGCGGATATCCAAACTAACCGCAACGCACGTCCTCCCCCGAGCCAAGTAGTCTCCGGCGATCTCCCGGACACGGAGTACCGCATCACACGTGGAGAGCGCCG